GCAGAGGAAGGAAACCTATGTGATCGCCCATATAGGCATTTCAAATGAAGTAGAACCAATGTAGTGCTGAAAATTAAAAACAAAAAATATATATGCTATGTAGCTAAGAATGAGAAAAATAATCTGAATTATACTTGTTTTTCTCCAAAAATGTGGGATTATGAGACAGGTCTTAAGAAGAAGAACAGAACATGTTCTCCAAAGCCAAGGGAAGTTAGAATAATTATCCTCACAATTCAGAATGGAATTCAATGGGCTGACAAAAGAGGTGTGTCTGGGTGCTTGACAAGAGTTTCCCCCAAAAGTTAGGAATCCCCAGGATAACTCTTTGCCTTCACCAATTCAGAAAATATTTGTTGAGCACCTGTGGGGTGCTGGGTGCCAAGCTAGGTACAAAGGAGCCCAGAATGGACACCACAGTGTCTCTGGCCTTGACATGAGCCCTTTGCATCCAGCAGCCAGCTCTCAGCTCCTTCCTGCCCAGCCTTCCAACACATTCCTTGTTCTACTTGCAGAACACACTCCCCCTTTCCAACCACCTTTCCCTAACTTCTCAAGACATGATCCTTCTCATCCTTAAATACTCAATGTAAATATCCCATCCCCTAACACCCAGACTGGATTTGGCCGCAGGACTCTGGTCTCAGCCTTTATGGCACTTAGCACAATTGTAATGGATCTTTATTTCAAGTCCAGCTTTGCCAACTGATTGTGAAGCTGCTGATGGGCAGGGACTAGGTTCGTTGTGCTCCCATCTATATTTCCAGCATCCCACTGCCTCGAGCAATAGTTTCTTAATAAGTGATGTTGGGTGGATGACTAAATTAACGGAAAGAGGAAGGAATGAGTAAGAGGACTTTCTCACCATGTTCCAGGACCTAGAAGTCGGAGGCACACTTCTTAGCCCTTGAAAAAAAAATCCATTTTATAAGCTTAAGGGTCTACTGTCTAACTAAAACATGTAACATTCTTCTGTTATCTATGCCCTGGATGCCAACTACCACTATAGAGTATTCTAAGCCTGGGCATACATTATATATATTCAGGCCTGGGAGAGTTTCATGCTCTCTTCAACCCTTATTCTTAGGCCTCCCTGTTTTGGAGGAGGCCCCACACTCACCGGGAAGTAGCCATCTAGAACGCTAACCCAGGACTCAACCCCTTAGCAGAACAACAAGTAGAAGAGGAGAAAGAAACATAATTCCACCCAGGTTGTGGCTCTGGCTATGAGACCTCCATACCTGCCCCTCTGGATCCAGGCCCTCCCCTGGTCCAGGCAATGCAGCCTCTCCTGCCTTCTGTAATCCCCTCCTAACACCCACACAAAAACCAAAAACTCCTTCAGGTTCCTATTTTAAATTCACATCGATCTACATGGCAGGAAGTCCTTAATTCGTCCCTTCTGTTCATCCTTGCATTCAGCAAACATCAAGTCCGTATTACGTGTAGGTACCGAGCGAGGTGTTTCTACTACACAGAAAGACACCTACCCTCTGGTGGATCCAACATACAGGCTGAAGGCAGTGTCCATAAGGCAAACAGGTGCCTGACACCAGACAATGCTAAAACTCAACCTGGTACTTCGGGATTTTCAGATACTTTGGATAACGCCTCAACTCTGGAGCTCACTCTACAGTCCAAGGATGTAGCCCCTGGCTTCACATGGCTACCGAGCACTTGAAGTGCGGCTGAGGAACACAGTTTTTAATTGTATTTGATTCTAACTGTTTTGCCTTTAAATCTGGAAACAGAAGCAGTGTAAAAAAATTTTTTTTCTGGGAAGCACATCTTTTTTTTTTTTTTTTTTTTTAGCCTGACTGGTTCACAGTAACCATTGATCATTTAGCATCTGATGTGAGACACACAGCCAATTTCAGGGACCTGCCACAAAAAGGAAATGATTGGAAAATATCTCACAAATATACTTTTATACTGATCATACGTGGTTGTAATATTTTGATGTATTGATTTTAAATATTAAAATGGATTTCACCTGTTTCTTTTTACTTTTTTAAATGTGTCTGCTAGAAAATTGAAAATTTTAAATGTGGCTCATGTTTATATTGCTACTGGACAGCAATGTTCTAGATGTTTTAATAAATACATAGCTAGCAAAAATGAACACACACACACACATAAAATGAGTCTGACTGCTTGGGTGAACTCAGGGCGGTGTCATACCTGATTCTCATGGAGGGGGTGTCCTATCTGGAATTCTGGTCTGGAAGGAGGAAACCTCTTGACCCTTATAAAGGTTCTCACTTTCATAAATGTCACCCAGACTCCTCCCAGTAGAGTCACCGGCATCATTTTGGGATGCTGGGAAAGGCAGGCCCAAACTATTAGTTTAGGTTGGAAGCTTCTTAGCCTAGTTCACAATTCTACGTGGAACAAAGGCAAAAAGGGAGAACCTTCCAGGTGGGATGCATCTCAAGTTGTGCAAACCCTGCTTTCAAGAGATTCCCTCCCTCACTGTCCCTGCCACCCCCTCAAGTCTCGGGGGTCTTCCCACCCAGCGACTTTCACTGCACAATTACATGCCAAGTCCTCAGGGGCAGCCTCTCTCTCCCCATCTTGGCAATTTTTTGATTTGTTGGGAAGAAGGTGAAAGAGTATTTCTTGGCCCTAAGAAGCATGCCTGCCTTGCTGAGACACTTCTTTCTTGTATCTGTTACCTACCCCGTCCATTTTCTGCTTGCAGAGGGGAGGAAGGAGGAATTTGGGGGAGGAGGAAAAGGGAGGAATTTGCCCATAGGTGCATAAGCTCAGTGGTGTCACCGTGGGACCCCAAGGCAGGGTTGGGGGAGCACTGGCTCATCTATCTGAGTCTCGTAACTCCCCTGCAGAGAGGGACTTCAACTTGTCAGCATCCTAAAGGAACTGGGGAGGCTTGCAGGGGCATGGGCCAGTCAGGAAAGGGGGTACAGGTCGGGGGTCGGGCATTCCACTGCCCAGTGTCTAACTCTCCCTGCTGTCCACTCCACAAAGGGAAGCTCAGCTGAGGACGGGGCTGCTGGCTCTTCCCAGGGCGGGGAGAGAGACTATGCAAGCCTCTTGCCAACCAACCATGTGCGCAGGGCTGATCTCGGCCTGGCACCCAGCTCACACTGCGTCCTGGCCACCTAACTTTCTGAAAGTCCCCATTTTCCAGAGGGGGGAACTGAGGTCAGAGAGTGGCCTGCAGTGCTCCGCTAGCCAGTGGCAGCCCTGAGCTAGTCTAGCTTGCCTGCATCCCTTTAGTCCTGCAGAGGTCTGAAGGGCACCGAGAAACCTCCAGTGCCTGCCTCGTCCTCACCAGCGCCAGGCTGGCAACCTCACATGGACAGAAAAGGTCTTTGGAACCTGTGGTTTGATTCCCAAACTGTCTTTGGCTACTGGATCCTTTGAGGCTCTGATGAATGTAGGGACCCTCTTTCCAGGAAAATGCACTTGGACAGACTCTTGAATATATTTTTAGGAGATTTTATAGACTCCTTGAAATGGACTCATTCAATCTGATATTTTATTACCAAGTTCATATGAATTATATGTATGTAAAATAAACACATATATTTTATATATTCTGACTAATCAGTGGCAGTGAGAAATGGACCTATTTAAGCCACAGGCTAAGTAAATTTTTTTATTTGTTTTGCTTTTTGCTTTTTCTTTTTAAAATATAAAAAAGGAAAGGAAGTTGCCAGTGATACTACCAACCTAGTTTTGGTTTTGTTTTTTTTTAAGATTTATTTATTTAGGGCGCCTGGGTGGCTCAGTTGGTTGGGCGACTGCCTTCGGCTCAGGTCATGATCCTGGAGTCCCTGGATCGAGTCCCACATCTCCCTCTGACCCTCCCCCCTCTCATGTGCTGTCTCTCTCATTCTCTCTGTCTCAGATAAATAAATAAAATCTTTAAAAAAAAAAGATATATTTATTTAAAAAAAGATTTATTTATTTATTTATTTGACAGAGAGAGAACAAGCAGGGGGAGTGGCAGGCTGAAGGAGAGGGAGAAGCAGACCCCCCGCTGAGCAGAGACCGCAATGTGGGGCTCGATCCCAGGACCCTGGGATCATGACCTGAGCTGAAGGCAGACGCTTAACCCACTGAGCCACCCAGAAACCCCTATTTGTCTCTTTTTTATGTGCTTCCTGTCCTTGTACAGGTCAAACTGGATGAGGGTTCTATGAGGTAAGACCTTCGGAAGGCAAAGCGCTGCCCCACCCCCTACACCTGTTCTGGGGGCAAGCCCACGTCCCACAGCCCTGGGGTCACCCCACTAGTGGGGCAGAGCTGGACACGCTGAGTCCGGGAGCAGTGGTCCTGGGCGCCATGCTACCCTGGTCTCCTGGGCAAGCCGGTCCCTTGCCTTCTGGGAGCTCTCCTTGGGAACCAACAAGATCATGCTCAAGTGTTCTCATAGCCATTCAGCCAGAGATGAGTGCAGCTTGCAGAGAGCACCATTTTTTTTTTAAAGGTTTCTTTTTTTAAAAAAAAAGATTTTATTTATTTATTTGAGAGAGAGAGAATGAGAGAGAGAGAGCATGAGAGGGAGGAGGGTCAGAGGGAGAAGCAGACTCCCTGCCGAGCAGGGAGCCTGATGCGGGACTCGATCCCAGGGCTCCAGGATCATGACCTGAGCCGAAGGCAGTGGCTCAACCAACTGAGCCACCCAGGCGCCCCATAGAGAGCACCATTTTCAAACCGATGGTAAGAGCTCACTGTGCTGGGACAAGGTCTTCATGGCTGCCACCCGCCTCCCAACCATCACCTCCATAAATAGCCTGACATTCGGAATTCCCAATAAAAAAATTCCCTCTACGGGTCAAGAGGTACTTCCCATGTCTAGGGAGATGTGTGCAAAGTGCCTTTTCATGCATAGAAATGGAACCTTCTAGGGACCAGCCAGTGTCTCTTTGAGCTTCCCTCTTATTTTTATAAGGCTCTAAAGGTGAATTTCCTCCTGCTTCAGAGAGCTGGAAGTTAAGCTTAATGTACAAACCTTTATTTTCCGAAGAGGCAGTTTGGCCTTCCTGTATCGACAGACTCCAGAGCTTAGATTTATTACAGAATGGTAATCAGGCAAAAAAATAAATACACTGCATCTTTAATTCATTAATCACCTCGGAAAGCAAAATGAACTACAGTAAAGAAGACAATATGTTTTCGAGTGCTGGGGGTGGGGGAAGTAGAAGTCTGTTCCTCAGTAAAATCCACTTGCTAAAATCCATTTTGTGTGCAGATTAGAGAAAGGACGTTTACCTCTGAGGCTGTGGTTCAGATCGGAGCAGAAACTCTCTATACAGGAGGTTTGGTTGGACTGGGGTGTCTCTGGATGGCCCCTGGGCACCCCTGAGGTATTCTTCCTGTTATAACTCACATCATGAGCCACAGGCTGGTGCAGGCACTGGAGTCAAAGAGACTTGGGTTCAAATTCCTGCTCCTTCTGGAAAGTGGGGAGGGTTGGGTGGGGATGCACCCTCTGTCACTTGGTGCCTTGAGGTCTATCTACCTATGGAATATGGGTCCCGGGGATGTTTTGTCTTCTAAAAATTTCACATCACCAAACTCTCACCAAAACAGACCTGTACTGAAGCTGGGAACAGGTAAGCAAACCTGAGCAGCCGCATGCAGCTGGGCGCTCTGGAAGCAGCATCCGGCTCTGGAGTCTCGGGTCTGGCCTAGAATGCTAAGAGGATGCCCTATCCCTGCTGCTCTTCCTGAGCCCTTGCAACCTGAAAACCAGAAATTAGCCAATCTTCCACCTATATCACAGGCCTGCTAAGTGAGAAGCCGTAAGGCAGCATCTTAGACTCTTCAAGGGAGACAATCAAGGTCTGTGCAAAGATATCATGGGAAACCATAATCATGGATGTTTGTTGAGTGCTTCTGAGGACTTCACATAGATTACCTTCTTTAATCTTTGCAACTATCCTTCAGGGTTTGGTCCTATTCCTGTGCCCATTTTACAGATGAGAAGACAGGTCCATGGAGGTCAAGTCCCTCCAACAAGTTTACATCACTGAGTGGTCCAGCTGGGTAAGAACTACAAAATTTGACTGTCAACAACACAGGGATTAAGGGTTCCCACCCCGGTGCCATCAAAAATCCACACATAGCTTCTCACCCCCCAAAAGCTTACCTACTATGAGCCTACTGGGTTGATCAGGAGTCTTACTGATAACACGGTCAGTTCATATGTATTTTGTATGATATTTGTATTACATCTTGTATTTTTACAATAAAGTAAGCTGGAGAAAGGGAAATGTTATTAAAATCATCAGGAAGAGAAAATACATTGGCGGTGCAGTCCATATATTTATTGAGATAATCCTGCAGGTAGTGGATCTGCGCAGTTCAAACCCCTGTAGTTCAAGGGTGGATTGTACTCCCCTTTACTGAGCGCTTCCTGCCTACAGTGCTTTATCTGTAGGATGTCATTTATTCTTAGCAGCAATCTAGAAAAACAAGTACGACTATTCCCACTTCATGTATGAAGTCAAAAAAAGCTCCGAAGCTTTAAAGCAGGGTTTCTCCATCCCAGCGTGGTCTGTCCTACACACTGAGGGCATCCCTGCTCTCCTCCCACTAGAGGCCAGGAGCACCCAGTCCCTGAGTCATGACACCCCAAATGGTTTCCAGATGTTGCAGCCTGTCCCGTGGGGAGCAATATCATCCCGGGTTCAGACGCATGCTTCCAACACATGCGTGGGGTCATGCAGATGAGAACTGCAGAGCTGGGCCGGGGACCCCAGCCTACCCGCCTCCTCCACTGGATAGTTTTCCAAATGCTGCTTCCGATACCTGGAAGCAGTAGTTTTTAAATGTGCCCCATTCCAGAACCTGAGAACAGGTTAGAAATAGAAATTCTGGGCCATGCCCAGATTGCTGAAATCTGAAATTCCAGGGATGGGGGCTAGCAATCAGAGGTGCAAGGTGTCCTTCGAGGGGCCGGACGCTCACCCAAGTCGAAAGTCAATGCCTTACAGCAGTGTCTCTCAGCCTTGGCTGCACACTACAGTCACCTGGGGCCCTTCCAAGAAAAATACTGATCCCACCTTGGGATTCTGATTTCATTGAGCTGGGCTGGGGCTGAGGCACTGGGATTTTGAAAGCTTGCCAGGTGATTCTCAGGGCTAGCTGACATTGAGAACCACCGACCTCGAGGGAGCTGACCCAGGTTCTCAGGGAGGCACTGGTCAACGTCCAACGCGCTAAAATTAAAAACCAATGAGGTTGGTCCCATGACCCGTCAGCCCGAATCTTGGACAGGAATAGCGAGGACAGTATAGCGGTTCCCTCTGCTCTCAGCCTCAAACCACAGCCTCACACAGCCCGGCTCCTCACGTTGTTCCTTTTTTGGATTCCTCTCCCATCGATTTACCCAAATTTCTAAACTTTCTGGAAGCTGTTTAGTGGGACTGTGCATCAGCTCAAGGAGGCCAGTACATTTGGCAGGTGAGCGCTTTGCATTAAAGCGGATGTATCTACAAGGTACAGCGATTGCTGCCGGCGGCGGTGAAATTCAAGTTTCTCTTTAGCAATACCTAAACATCCTTCTAGGTCCGCCTAATCGAATCCCCCCCGTCCCGCCATCGCCTCCCATCATTGTCCTGGGCAAGGCGAGAAACATTCCCTTATTCACCCGCTCGCGTCCTTTCCCATCCTGTCCTCAGAGCCTGGACATCCTATCACTTCTTCCTAGACACCCACATCCTCTCTGTCGCCCAAGATCCTTCTCTGATGCCTCCAGCCTACAACACTCTTCCCTTCACAGATTCCCTTGTGCTCACTGTCAAAGTAGCCACACTGGAGATGATGTTTCTGATACAGGTGCTTCTGCTCTGCTCAATTTCTTTTTTTTTTTTTAAATCTGGGCAGCTCAAAGAGTGGCGTGCTGCTAGATGTTTAACAGCCAGCTCTCTGGTGGAGGGGAGCAGGGAAAGGGGCTCTGAGCTGCATTTGCATTCCATGCTGCAAATATTCATGGCCGATTTCATGCTCCCAGGGCCTAAATACGGAATTGGGAAGAGATGCACCCAACGGGCCCTTGCCTGCCCACAGAAGTGGGCTCCAGCACGCCGCCAGTCGACCACCCAGCAAACATCTCCTGGGAATCTGTTCAGTGACGGGCCCTGTGCTAAGTGCTGAGCACAAGGCGTGAAAGGTACGGATCCTGGATCACAGTCTAGTGGGGTTTCCGGGGAAAGACCGCATTTCTCAGTGACAAGTGACGGGCAGAGAAACAGGGAAGAGGCAGATATACAGAAGGGAACCATCCATTGTGCCAACTAAACTGGGATTCCCTTGAATCCTGAGAAAAAAAAAGATCAACATTTTCGAGCCAAAAAAGACACGGTTGTGACTGCTCATGTCAGCTGCCTCAGCTTATTGATTTCACCTGTACTGAGAATTCCACGAGGCTGGTTCCGTCATCCCGTCTATAGAAGGGAAGTGCCTTCCCCAAAGTCACAAAGCTGGAAAGGCCTGACACTGATGCGGGTGCATCCTGCTGCACGGTGAGGGATCGCTCCGTGTTTGTAGTGAGGGAAAGTGGGCCTTTGCTACATCAAAGACTGTCTGAGCTCTCACTCCCTTGAGAATGATTTCTAAAAGATATTCAAAGAAGGCTGCAGAGATCCTGGAATCTGGGGGGTGGGGGACAAAAGGCAACAATTTGGAGGGCCAACTCCACCCTCTGTGGCTTCCTTTTTATACAGTGACCCCACATAAACCTTCATGTTACAAACAGTTCCCCTGTTGAAACAAAACGAGTTTGAAAACCTGTGATTCCTGCCAAATCCTTGTATTTGCGGAGGGGGCACAGAAGCCTGGAGAGCCTCGAGCGGTCCTTCCCTGACGCACCTGTTACAGGGCGAACGCACTGTGGGAATAAAATAACTACAGGGAGATTTTCAGAAAATGCACCCAAGCCCAATGATCTCCCCCCAAAACGGGGCACTCCTAAGGCAAGATTGTGAACACATCAGTAACCCTGGCCCCGGAACGAAGCAGTGGGTTTGAATCTCCCCGTCCTACCCATTCCAGCACTCACGCAGCGTGAGTCTGCAGGATTTCTGGGCTTGGCATCCAACATGCCCCAACACCCAGTCAAATCCAGGTTCACCTTGGTAACGCCCGACCCCGTGTTGCAAATGCTTTTCAAGCCCATTGGGCACAATCTGTCTTACACCATTTCTCCGCAGGCAGCTTTGACTCCGAGTCAAGGCAAGCCCCTAAATGCAACCAGTTCAAAGAACTAGAGCTACCACCTACCCCTTTCCTCACCGCCCCAAACCCGACTTCCTGAGAGAAGCCTGGAACTACACTGCTGTATTTTAACATATAACTCACAAATTAAAAACCGAAAGAAGAAACGCGTTTTTCTGTCAATGGCTTAAGGGGATTCCACCTCTAAGCTGCTGCTAAAGCTCCCTTAGTCTTTTTTACATTTGTAGCATTTTGGAGCAATTTGCTGGAGTCAAAGAAGGCAGTGAAATTTCCACAACCGACTTCAAAGCCCCCAAATCCTGTATCAGTGGAGGGGAGCCTGGTAGCAACACCAGAGGGGACGATTTTTCAAAGAGGTGTGTGTAGGAACATGCCAGGAATTTCTGCCCTGCGCTGGCGATTGATGTTAATGGCAGACATGTGACCAAATCCCCATGTAGTTCTTTGAAAAATGCCCCTCCCTCCCCCCCCACAACACCTTTGGCTGTGACAATGCAGATGATACGGAAAAGGGCCAGCACAGAGGGACTCTGCTACAGCTCAGTGAACAATACCGGCCTTAATTCAATTAACACAAATGAGCCTTTTATCCGGTAGGGAGTGGGGAGCACATGCAGATTGACCAAGGGGGAGGGGCTATACCTGGATGGGTTCAGGCTGGTGGAAATGAAGGCTGGACTGAGTGGCTTCGGGGAAGGGAAACGTGCAAACGGCCAGGGCACCCACCACCCCAATTCATTCCCCTGTGTTTTCTACTTCTGTTTGCATGCCCTCTTTGGCTTGGCCTTCCAGTTTCTTCTCCATCGGACCCCAGTTTACCCACTGGTCCCTGTCTGGGGCAATCCTTCCTCCCCAGCTCACACCCATAAACACACGGTTTTTTCCAGCAATAGCAACACTGCTGTAGTGAATTAAGATCCCCAAACAGGAAATGTGTAGAAACTGGCATTTTGCCTGTGAATATTCTGTGCTACAAGATATTATAAAAGCCAGCTAAAAGGCTGTCTAGTTCACAGGCTCACAAGAGTGGGTGAGGCTGCCCATCACCCCTCACTTCAGCCGAAATGCGATATTCTCGCTGCTACGATTTTGTTAGGAGTGGGGGTGGACACTGTTCCCTAAGATTATTGGTCATTTGTGTTTACTTCTAAAAGCTGTCCATTCTTATTTGCCCAGTTTTCTGTCAGGTTGTTGGTCTTCTTTCTGGTGGATTTATAAGAGCTCTTCACACCAAAGAAATTAGGTCTTTGACTATCTGGTGGGTTGTAGTTTTTCCCACTTTGCTGCTTGTCTTTTGATTTTGTTAATGGTGTTTTTGCTATGTGTAGGGTTTAAATGCTTATGTAGTCAAATTTATCAACCCTTTGCTGTACAGCATGTGGGTTTTAGGTCAGGCTAAGGAAGACCTTCCCCATGTCAAGTTAAAAACATCATCGTTTCCTTTTGCTTCTGCATGGGTGTTCAGAAAATGACAACCCTCTTCCTGCTCACTCACGAACCCCACGTCTTCTGGAAAGCATTTATCAAGCAGGACAAGTATTTATTTATTTTAATTGTCTGATGCATCAATAATGAATCTTGAGAGCAAGAACTGTGTCCTATTGGTTTCTCAATCCTCCAGCACGGACTCCATACTCTTGTATATAGATAGTGCACAGGAAGTGTTCATTGAGTTAAATCCTAAAATAAAGCCTAATAACTCAGATGCCAAACCAGCCAGGGAAAAGGGGTTTATTTTCCAATAGCTCTCCAAAAAAGGACATTAAGAAATAGGTCTGGCTGGTGCAGACTATATTTAACAAGCTGTCCAGGAAAAGAAACTTAGCCCACAAAAGTGTCAAGGAAATGTCAGGATATGGGTCTTTTGAAAAGCAGGGAGAGGATTAAGAGAACAACCTCTAAGAATTTTTGACAGATTGCGAAGATGGCATCTTTGTCGCTTAAGAAACGTTTATGAGGCTCTTATTACTCATTTGTTTGCTTGCTCGTCTGTGCTCCTGTTTATTTGAGTGTGTTCTGCCACTTTCCGGAAAGGACCCGAGGCACAGATGCTGTGTGCTGTTCACCGACGCAGGGCTGGGCTGGGCACAAAAATAAATGAGGCTCAGACTCCATGCTCACAGAGCTTAGAATCCAAGAGGAGATGAGAAATTTAAAAGGTAACTGTCTCACAAAGTAGAGTGAAGAGTGCCTTCAGAGCGGGCCATTTTTGTGTGGTTTAATGCTACGCTTTAGTGGAGGATCAATGGGTCTGACCGCATGTGATCAAACATCTTGGTTAAACCCAGCCAGCACCATTTTCTCCGGTCCTGTTTCTACTATAAGCCCAATTACACTAGCTAAGTAAGTGCCTGGTGGTAATGACAACAAATAATACAGCATATCCTTGGCATTTGTAAAAGTTTGTGCAAATCATTTGGAATACATCTATCCTTGTAACTCAATGACTAAATACATTATTCTCTTTTATATGCAGATTTTTTTCCCCCTCTGAATACCATCACACATTTAAAACTACCCATTCTGCTAGCTCAAAATCCTCAGTACCAACCCCTCATTGTATGTGCTGGATCTGTGATGACATCGTCACTTAGCTGACTGTGTAGACTCATAGATGGTCTCTGATTTTGGCTTATTTGACCCATTTCCCAAAAGAGAAGAATGAGACTCCACAGGGTAATCAGGGCAATATGCAGGCCCGGATCGTGTGGCTGCTTAGTGGCTAAGTTAGGTGTAAGAAGGAGGCTTCTGGACCCCACCTGCAATTTGCTTTCCCTAGGTGCCTTATCTGACTTCCTTACGCCCTTCGTTACATAGACTTGATATTAATGAAGGACTGGGAAGAACAGATGAAGCAGGAAAAGCACAAAGCGATTGTTCATCCCTTTTAAGTTTAACCCAGGCCTGAAAAACGCTGAGTCTGTGAGACAGAACGATAAAATATGGGAAAGTCACCAGTTAGTTCTTCACTTTCTGCGTCCCTGAAGTCTTCTATTAGGAGTTCTAAATCCTGGCTGTGCCTGAGAATCACTGGGAATTGTTACTTAAATACTGATGCCTGAACCCCTAGAGGTTCCAGAGTGAATGGTCTGGGGCAGGGCCTCGATGGTTTTAAAAGCTCCCACAGGCGCATCCAAGGTTAACAACCTTGGCAATGGGTTCAGAGATCTGTTCATGGCCTAATTCTACTCACGTCTATCCCCAAAAGGGGTGTACAAAAGTCTGGGGTAAAAGTTTCCTCCCCCGTGTTGCGAGGTGCCCATCTTCGGAGCCCTGCTGCACGCACCCCATTCTTGGGGAAATCTTACTCAGAAGGCGCAGACGAGCCCCCCCCCACCAGCCACTGCTGATTGGATGAGCAATCAATCAACCTGACCAAGGTGAGCCAATCAGCTCTCTTTTCCTAGAACTGCGTTGTAAGAGTCTCCGACCCACCCCTGTTAGAAACTCAAAGCCAAGTTTAGGGGTGGAACCCAGAGGTGACAGGGGGAATCACATGTTCTCTGGAGAGAAAGCCTGCCTGCTTTCTGTAGGAAGAATGAAGCAGGTGTACAAAAAGAGAGAAGGGAGGTAGAAGGCACAGGAGGAATGAACCTCCATCCCGAACTGCCCTCCAGTCCCTAGCTTGTATATATGTGCCCTTAATGGACACCGTTATCCTTATAAGAACAGAAACTTGAAGGCAGAGTTTTTATGTCCAAAGAGTCCCTGTCCAAGATTCTAGGACATTAACATATTCCTTACAGGACCTCTGATTTCCTTGGAAGGCTCATCCAATCACAAACCCAGTCAAAGTCTGGATTTGACAGTGATCTTGGGTTTTTTAATCAGAGCAGAGGATCCCAAACCCGGGCCCGGAAACCCCACAGGGAGCTCATGAAGGCAGTGAGAGCACCCAAGAGTCACTCCTGTTACTGTAAAGACCTACGGGGTAAACCCCCGTGATAAGGTTTTCTTTCGACTGCACAGACATCAATGGAATCATGCTTCTTCTCCGGCTGATCAGATGCCCTGTAGCTGTTAGAGAGGGCTCTGATTAATAAAACAAATACACAGAATTACAAACGCATCTTTCAGAACACGACTTTCATAGGGGGGAATGAGTAAAGGGATCCTCGAGTCCTAAATAAAATTTAGTATTTCAATCACCATTTTTCAAAACTGTCCTGTGATGTTAGTTCCATAAGATGGTTCATTAGGGAACAGGTTCCATGTTCAAGTAAGTTTGGAGGATACAGTGTGTTTAGCTGTGCCGTTCCTTCCCCATAGAGGGTCACAATAATGTGAGCATATAAGGCTCTAAGATGGATGATAGCAGAAATAAATGTTTGATTTTGCCTAATCCATAAATTCCCTGAATTATTTGACCACAGAACTCCCCCAAGCACATCTTTAAAAAAAAAAAATTTAAGGGGTGATGGCATTTTTTTCAGGGGAGAACAGATAAAGCAGGTAATGGTCATAAACTACTGTTCTAGGTTTTTCTCCATTTTCCAACTTGACCACACTTAGCAGAGGGGAGTAAGTGTGATATCGTAATAGCAAAGTTATGTTAAAACAAACCACGGTTTGCCAAGTGTCAAGGTCAAAGTTTTATTCCATATAATACTGAGCAAGGCCGAGTGTGGTGGGGGGTTTCCTCTGCGCCAGGTGCTCTACATACATCATTGTATTTAATCCTTTGCACAATGCTATCTTACAATCCTATTTTACAGATGCAGAAACTGTGTATTCTTCCTCATGTTACTACAGATTTTGCTGACAACTTTTTATTAAACGAGGCTTTCAATGGAGTGATTTAATGCTGATTTATCTTCACTATCCTGCAATTTCCTCAGTGTCAATTGCACACCTGACACTTTACACATTACAGGGTATTAAGGAAATGTACCATCTATTATTTTTTAAATGCTCTTGAAATGACAATCTTTATCTTTGAGGAGGAAAAGGCTGCTCTGTTAGCTACTGAAATCAAACCACAGAATCGTTTGACTTTAGAGCTGGAGGGGGTCCTCGGGGTCAAGATCATGAGAAGGACCAGTCCCAGTCTTCTAGATACTAATCAGATTATAATTTTTTTTTTTTTCTAGGTTTCACTCAACCCAACTCAGAAAAAGAGGACCAAAGAGGAAAAGGCTACTGAGGTCATGCTACATGTGCTAAGGTTAATCGCTAGGCTTTTTAACTGGGAAGGAGGGAATAAGCTGGCCCGGGCAGGGGTAGCATGGCATCTATCTAGAAATAAATATCCGCATGACTGCAGTGTCGACTCAAATTATATTTTAATAGCTTTGTGCCCGAGTTTCCTCATCTGTATAAAGGGGATTAAAATATCTGCCCCTCTAGTTGTTGTAACGATCAAAGATGGCGTAGGTCCTGGCTCCCAGGAGACAATCAATGGCAGCTGTGGTCATCAAAGCCGGTGAGGCTTTGGATGACCTCCAAAGAGGAAGGCTGGGTGGAACATCATGGTCTGCAACCCCATGGAAGTTTTCTCTAACTCCTGACAAACTGGTATACCCCTACAGTGACCAGAGGAAATGCTGAGTCTCACCTCTCCCTGAAATATAAGAAAAGTCTGATTCTCAATAGTCTCTATAAACTGCAGAGGTAGAGGGAAAAACAAGCCATCATCTTAAAGTCTAGCTAATCTCTGAAATCCCTGATAAGTGGGATATGAAAATAAAACCCATATACATGTTTAATAAGATACATACATGTTATAATAAGCAACACATATATCTATAGTGAAAATATTTTGACTAAATCTTATCGTTCAAAACCCAAGAAAATAAGTGTTCAAAATCTTGACCTTTGGACCTTTGTGCATCGTTGAGAACTCGTATGTGGGCCCTTCTTCTACATTTTCCTCTTCGTTTTGGTGATCTCTGCAGAAACTGACTCCAGATAACCTCTGACTCAGTGTCCCCAATACTGGAGATGTTGGTGACATGCGCTGGCAATCTGGTTTCAAATTTATGTCTCTGGTACCTTCCTAAAAATGTTTTCCAATTTCACAACATAAAACCCTGCTAATGAGCAAATAACAAGTCACACATACCAAGCAGCATATCTGCTTTGAAAGAAATCGTATTTCAATGCATGTAATAATCTGGCATTCACTTAAAATGATCACTTGTTTTACCAATGTGCATGTCATGCCTTCAGGAAACATTTCATTGTACACCTGGTATGTGCTATGTTCATTGTTTGCAATTACAGGATATATTAATTATTTCATTTTATTTTACTTTATTGGAATGCTATAGGGTATTTATCTTTAAGTATGTACCACCCATTTTCCCCCAGTGATCCACACCAACCTCAACTCAGTCGTAATGAATCCCAGGTCTAAATGTCTGGGACTCAGGTGGATGCCGATATCCATATTGATACCTATGATCAATTTTATCTCTACTTTCACACAATGAATCGTTTTTCAAAGGTAAAGATTTTATTGTGGAGTGCCTTGTTTCTAGATAGAATTCTATAGCCCTATTCATTTCTCATATTAACAGCTTAATACTTAAAGTTGGAAAGACAGACAAGGAAATCTATAACGAGAAAACTTCAGGACTCCCCCAATAAATAACTCTTGTCTTCAACTGGACAAATGTGAGACACGAATCCTTTCAAAAAGCCATCCTTCCCCGCTCAAACCCAACGGTGCTGAGAAATATATGACAAATTTTTGTCTGATATTAACCACAACTTATTTTTTCCTTTAAAAAATTAATTAAAAACACGAGATGGAATAAATATTTCAGGCGACCAGCAGCAAAATGGGAAAATACCATGTGTTTGGAGTTTTAGTGCCCTCTGAGTACAGAAATTTATTTGCAGCAAGCAGAAAATAGACAGCAAGCATAAAAATACAGCAGAGTCCCCCTAGTAAAATTATTTATCAAGCTAACAAGGGAGGGACCCTTCTAGTAACAACAAGCCAGCGAGGAAAAGACATGGCTTTATATTTTACCTTTGGGTTAGCAAACCAGTAAAAATGCCAACTGACAAGCACTTCACATAAACATTTCTTTCTAAATGAGCTTCCTTGTTAGGAGGAAAGAAAAAAACAAAAAAGTGTTCCTAGCTAAGGAGCACTATAGCTTACAGAGAATTCTAGCATGGATACGCGGACTGTTCAGTGCAAAAATAAAATAACTGAAAGAATAAGTTAATGTGAATTATGACTGGAGTTTTAAAAAACAAATTAGAAGTTCATTAAAGAAAATGTGCTTACATTCTTACCAGAGTATGCTCATACCTGGATGTTTACAGAAAGTCACAATTTTGTAAAATGCCTTTTCAGGGCTAGGGTTAAGAGTCTCCAGGAACAAAAATACATACGTATATATTCATATACACAGATATACATGTACTTACATTGCCTCTACTATGTAAGCCTCACTGCTATATTTTTTCAAATATTGGGGCGCCTGGGTGGCTCAGTTGGTTGGGCGACTGCCTTCGGCTCAGGTCATGATCCTGGAGTCCCGGGATCGAGTCCCGCATCGGGCTCCCTGCTCGGCAGGGAGTCTGCTTCTCCCTCTGACCCTCCTCCCTCTCATGCTGTCTCTCATTCTCTCTCTCGCAAATAAATAAATAAAATCTTAAAAAATATATATTTATTTTATGAGCAAAACCCCAAAGCCAGTCTTTACAGTTTAGTTTAACGATACCAAAGTTTGAAATATAAATTACAAATCACTTTACTGCAGCCTGCAATAGCAAAAAAAAAAAAAAAGAAAGAAAAAGAAAAAAGAAAGCCTTGAGATGAAACCACACAGTGACCTGATCCCAATTAAATTTTAAAGAAACAGTAAAAATTGCATTCTCAGAACAACAGCATCCTCAGTAGCTCTGCAAATAACTCCTGACGAATTCACAATGAAATCACACACCCGGATCTCATTTTCCCTAAAGTAAAAATCTGATCCGTGTTAACCGTGGCAAACACGGGAAGGTGCCTTTTTTATTGTGGAAGGAAATGATGGTGCCGAGAATGGCGAATCTGAACGACACTGTAAAATGATGAGTCGAGACAGACAGAAACGCCTTGCACGAACCGCACTGCCCCCCACCCCCCATGCCCGGGCCCCCATTCCCACCAATGCCATAAAAAAAATAATAAAAGTTTTCCAGCAACAGGACCGAAAGCTTCTCCATACTAGTATCAGCCGGCTCACACACAATAGGAGGAAAATACTTAAAATAAGCCATTCCTTACTTTGTTCTTCCTCTCCGGGACAGGACGGCTTTCCCCAGGCTGCTGTGAGAGCTCCGAGCTCTGGCTGGACGAGGGAAACCTCCCGCTCTCCGTCAGCAAACAAGGTAAACCCCGGGCTTTTCTTCTGGAGTCGAGGCCCACACTGTCGACTCCGCTCCCCCCAGCTCAGTTTGGGGGCCGGGCGTCCCATCTGACCGCCAGTCTGTAGGGAGGGTGTATAGCCCCTGCCATGTGCTACTTCGTGACAGTGACCTTTGTGCCTCCCGTCAGGGTGCTACCGAGTAACCAAAGTTCAGATCAAACGGAGGTCACTTCCGAATAACCGGGCTCCCGACACAAGGCAGCGCGCGTCGCTCACGACCTTCTCCGCGACCACGAAGCTGGGGCGGGCACGTGCGTGCGGAAGAGCGCGCGACCGGATTGGCGGGCTCCCCTGGTCAGGAGAACGAGGGGCACGTGCGAAGCGCAAGCAGGCGAGGCCAACGGGCCCGCGCGGCAGCGGGGCTCTGGGAAGGCCGCTGGGCAGGAGCGCCGCTGCGAGCCGTCAGCCCCGCGCAGCGACGCTGCTCCGAGGCTGGCGGGAAATGCCGTCCTCGTCGCAGAGGCTCCCCCTGGGCGGGGAGGGAGCGCCCAGGCGCGGACCCCCGCACGTGCCAGGCAAGCCGGTGCGGGCCCGCGCGCTTTGCAATGGGGAGAAACCGCGTCTGGGCTTCCCAAGGAGAAAAAGAGAAGAGAAAACAAAACAAAACAAAAGTCTGGGAAAGCCCAATAACAAATAAGTAAAACAGTCTTTGGGCATCAGAACGGAAGTGTGTGTATGGGCTACTCCCTGGAGCGAAGTACGAGAAAACAGTTCTTAGCTTGTGCCCAAAAGGTCAACGTGGGTGAAGGGATTTCTGACTTCTCTTGGCTACTGCCGAGCGCAGGGAGATGCTACACATCCTTTTCAGCAGACTCACGTGGCCTTCTAAAATGCCATGCATGATTCCAAACACTGAAACGTATCGTGTGCACCTTAAGATGTCTCGAAAGTGTTCTAAGGGCTCCGTTATGAAGTGAGAGAGAGGGCAGGAAGATAAGGAAGAGAGATTTTTAAAACGTAAACAGGAAATTCTATTCCCTAATTCAAAATTTGCAGCCCAGGAAGAGACCCCCCCCCACCAGCTTTCCCCTCTTTTCACGTACATGAGGAATGAACTTCATTTTAAAATATGAACCCGCCCGAGGCACACCATCGCGGTACAGATTCAAGCCCTGTAATTAACTACCATTGGCAACCAAAGGTCTACATTTGGATTAACTTTGTTGTTGGGGAGAGGGGGGAGTCACCCCTCGTTCCGAAGCCCTTTAAAATAACTGTAAACCCAGGACGCAACTCTGCGGCAGAAGGAGCCAGGGGAGAAAAAAAGAAACTTTGTAAAACCCAATGTAAAGGAGGTGTGACCTCAGGGTAAATCAATTCCATTCTCACCTCCGCTGGCTACCTGCTGGCTAATGAACTTACTGGGCTTTTCAGTGGACAGGAATGAACAAAGAAATCCTCCCTGGCTGCATGTGAATAACAGGTCATTAGACAAAGCTTGCTGAGGGAAAAGGTGAAAACAAAACCCAACTAGTGTCTTCTCTTTCTTTCTTGTCATTCTCACCTCAGGCAGGCAGGGTTTATGTTGTAGGATGTGTGCCCCTAGATTGTTAATTAGGTGTTAATATCTTCCAGGGCCTTACATCTGAGGTCACTGCTCCTGTGTCTGAGTCCTCTCCCTTGACAGTACCTGTGATGCCCACAGCTGGTTTGAGTTTCCTGCCCAACACCTGGAACTGCTCCTCCCCTCCCCCTACTTAGTGTTAATTCTATCAGTGCTAACGGCTTTGTAATATTTCCCGTGGATGCTGGAAACAGAGGCACACTGAATCTTCCCCACTGGCTGACGCCTGCCCCAGCATGTTCCAAATGTTGCAAAAAGACCAAAAAATAATAATAATAATAATAAAATCAAAACCAACCCTTCTGCTTAGCTCATTTATTGCCAATAATTTCATTAGGTGCCAGGAAAATCCCAAAATGCAGACACTGAACAACAACTTTACAGCGATTTTTAGTTGGAGGAAACAGAAGACTCAGCAATGGGCAGGTGAAGAGGGTCTCGACATTGGCGTCTGTGAACGGCAGCAGTAAGTCTGACCTTCTGGCAGGTGACTGAATGTGTGCTTTTAGCACAGATGCTCTTTACGGGAGCATCACTTTGTGTTAAATAATGAGCGCCATACTTTTACCAAAACTCTTTTCTTCCCTTTTCCCCCCTAAATGCGTCATTTCTTTAAGTTGCCCCTTCAATAGTATCCTAGGGCTCACTGAAAATATGACTTCATATGGCATCATCAGGCTAGTTACCCTGCACCTGCTCTGCTATAATTAATTGATTAAATCAGCTCAGTAGTCGACCAGAGCCCACCGGAAGAAAAACAGTAGGCAGACCTTGTATGGAAAGGGGGTACGGATGGAAGTTGTGTGGGAGCATGACCTAAATAAGCAAACAACAACAAGCAATTAGGTAAGTCCGCATAATAAACACTTTAAGTGAAATTATTCCCCCCCCCCTTTTTTTTCTCAGTGCCAACAAATACGTTGATGTAATTCGCTTAAGACATACTCATGGAACTTGTGATGGATGGGTCCGCTCCAGATCTGCATACAGGACAGCATTCTGTTCCTTGCTGCCGTGGGGGGTGGAGGATGTACTTTAAAAACTGAGTATTTAGAACCCCCGAGGGGCCTGAAATGAAGACAGTCAAGACCAGCCACTGTTCTCACTTGGGCTCTCTCAACAGAGGCACCAAGAATCCGGAACTTACAGTCTGTGTTTTCACATGTCCTTTGCATGACAGCACCTGATTCACCATTTCTGTTAAAATATTTTGATGGGCTCTGCAAGGGAAACACGATTATGACATATTTAATTTTATGTTTGAGTTAAATAGCCGTGCTAAGGCACCCACATTGACACAGGGCATCGGGAAATCATGCTCGAGTTTTATTTCTCTGGATGATTATGGGCAACATGGGAGGTCAAGTTATACAAAATAAAAACAAGATTTCTGAATACTTCTGCTGTTTTGTTTTGTTTTTTGTTTTTATCCCGGTTCATAAAACAATGAAGCCTTCCTTACATTTGTTTGGATTCATATTGGCATGGGTACAGCCAGGATAAAATATGTCCACTCAGCTAATTGTAAGACTAGAGAGAGAGAGAAAAAAAACAAAAACTGACGGGTACTTAGAACCCAGGAAGTACTATTTATACAAGTTCCATCAGCTTCTACCACAGGTGACAGGAAAGCTACACACAGGCCTCTCCCCTACGTATGCATCCCACCTGCCCTGCCCCAAGGCAGCTCTCTAAGGCTTGGTTGCATCCGGATGGGTCTTAGCCAATGTCAGGAACATCTGAAATGGGCAGAGCATAGACAAGAGCAGGCTAAGATCCATCACCACCTTGCAAAATAGGGTTTCAGCACACAAGAAGAGAGAACGTGTCTTGACAGCCAACTTTCAGTGTTGGTGCAACGCAGGGGCAGTTGTGTTAATCCAAGCTGAGGGACGGCCCCTCAGGTGGATTCCAAAGCCACCCTTGGTATTAGGGTCAAGCAACATCATCACTTATTTCCATGGCAAAGATGCTAACATCACACCACCCAGGGATGCTACCATGGAAAATTTTACACCAAATAGCAGTGTGCAGTTGTCTCCACGGACGTTCATATGAGAAGACCTTCCTTAGAAGGCACAATCTTGATAAATCATGCATCTGGGTAGATTTGTGTATGTTAAGCTGTAACATGCGCTGATGGAAAATGTTAGTCAGGATCAAGGGATGCTACAGAAAAGGAGAATTTAATCTTTTTTACGATACCGCTTAGGAGGGATATTTTGTAATATGCCCAAGAACCATAATATAATTTAGACGGTGTTTCTGAGAATAAATGAAAGGTAATTATACGGCTCCCCAAATGGTTTGTGGTTTAATTTTCATACTCTAGCTAGAAAATTGCCAGAAATAAGCCACAAAGCTATACGTAGTGGAAATGAGCAAGAGAGAAGAAGGCTAGCAGTTCTCCATTTTGGACTTTCACTACTAAAATCCCTTAGCCAAAGTGACTTTCTGAATATATACTAAGTAACTCTCCCAAGAGTATCAAGTATTGAACTTTTCATATGTCCGCTTATAATATCTAATATCACGGAGTAACTCAGAGGAATTGTCCTCCTCCCCCCAGATTCCCCATCTGACCAAATGCCGTTCTCTTCCTTGCTCTCACCTGTCAATCAAGTTCACAGATGAAATTTGATTTCTCTCCCACCAGTAACCTTATATGAAAAATTACCAGGAGGGTCAGGACCAGTGTGAACCTCGCCTTAAAAGTTCATTAACTCTTTGCTCAAAATGGATGGTTTCAATGTAACAAAACCTGCCAGTGGGCCTAGATCATCATATTTAATAGATGTTTTTCAAATTCCAATTATAAAGATAGAGACAAAAGAAAGGAATAAAAACAAGAGGAATAAAGTATTGTACTGCATGCACACACGCGGACACTCAAATTAATCCCGAAGGTATAACATCGAGTTAAAATCTATGTACGAGCCTATTCAGGAAAATGTTAATTTTATATAAAGCTAGGAAAGAAATCATAGTTAAATATTCACAGTCCAGTTATTCAAGCAGTGTGTAAAAGTAAGTCATCAGATACTACTTTTGAATAATGGGAGAAAATGGGGTTCTGGTTTCCAACATTCTTGGACTCAGTGGATCCTTAAAGTGTTTCCTTTGCAAAGAGTAGCAGTTTGACAGTGTGACTTTTGCCCCCCTCCTCAGGTTCTCTAGAAATCAAAAACAGTATTTCATGCAGATTTCTCAGCAAGCAATTTTTTTAATGACAAAGAAATCCAACTTTGTTCCGTTAGCCAATAAGAGGTAACAAGAATACATAAAGCAATGACACTAAATAATTATTGGTGTGCAAGTGTTGGACTAGCTTTCTAAATGAAGAGGTTTCATTATTAAATTCACCCTGGGATACCTACAATCGAAAACTCATTTAAATATCTTAATTTCTTTTTTTTTTTTTTTAGTAGATGAAAATCAGATATCTGCCCCGCACCCGCCTCCTGCGCTCTCCTGCTGCCTACAGTTGAGGTGGGAAGTGGTTCCAAAGTCACATTTGGATACAGAAATGGGGGACACACTGTGCTTTAAAATGACACCGGGGGTGCCTGGGTGGCTCAGTTGGTTAAGCGACTGCCTTCAGCTCGGGTCATGATCCCAGGGTCCTGGGATCGGGCTCCCTGCTCTGCGGGGAGCCTGCTTCTCCCTCTCCCACTCCCCCTGCTTGTGTTCCCTCTCTCGCTGTGTCTCTCTCTGTCAAATAAATAAATAAAATCTTTAAAAAAAATAAAAATAAAAAAAATAAATAAATAAAATGACACCGGATTTTCCAAATGTGAGTATGGAGTGAATTTCAAGAGGCTGACAATTAGGAATGTTTACGAGGCCCCGGTACAGCCAGCCAGGGACCACGGATGCCAGTTGACCAGGCTCACCCAAATGGTCTGACATTCAAGCAGAAGGACCAGCTCTGTGAGTGTCAAGAGGTTCATGCTGGTTAAGGCTAAAGATGTGGGCTTCCCTCAGACGAGATTAAGTACTCTGTACACCACACCTACATAATGAGATAAATACAGACACACATGCATGCTGGTCCCCCCAGGATCACCATCTGTGTTCCATGTGAAACCCAAGTACTCAAAGTACTAAAGCAGGAACTTTTCACGCCTAAGGGCTTATCAGCATTCCTTGCTTGCTTGCTATCCCCCTCATCGAAAACTCATCGAAACAAGCACATGCAAATCAGAAATCAAGATGTACCTCTTTGACTTCGGGCAACAGCGTTTTTCACATCACTGATGCAGAGGATTCCCTTGGGTACCTGATTTAGTAAATATATTAAAATAAACAAAGGGTAATTAATAACCATGAAGAAGGTTTCAAGGACAGTTTGTTAAAGGCAGCCTAGCTATCTATGAAAAAAGGCAGAATTAGACCCAAAGAAGAGGGATTTAGCTCCGCTTGCTTTGGCATCCTGGCCTCAGACCTGCCAGAGGAGGGGTTCACATGGAAGAGAATGACATGGAACGCAAGGTCACCCCCTCTGACGACTGCTCCCACCCCGGGGAGGCTGAGATAGAGAAACTCATGGGCCTGGCAGCCTGGATCAGCTTTGAAGTTGTCCTCAGTTCAGAGAACCGAGTCATTCCAGGGTCACAGTAGGGAGGATCTGAAGGGTCTCTGATGGGCATCTCTCAAGTGGTCACAGACTGCCCATCCCTCAGAGAACCCAACTGGTCCAGCTGCCCCTGGGTCTTTACTGGGGCCCATTCTCTTCCATCTTCCCTCCTCCTCCTCTTCCCTCCTCCTCCGTTGTTCTGGTCTATTCTGCTGGTACCGCTGACCTTAATTGCAAATGTTCTCTTAACAAATAGGAACATTTAGATACCACCCTTTTATTTATTAACTTATTTATTAACTTCCTCTCCGTTTAAATTAGTAGCAGGGGATGCTTAGAACCATGATATGAAAATGAGGTTGCTCTAAAAAAAAAAAAAAGTCTTTTTGCTTCACAGTGAATAACAAAGCACAGTAATTCAAAGTAGTTAGCTTTCTATGGTTCAAAAAACCCTTATTGCTATTAGCTGTACTAATGTAAGTGGCAAAATAATTATCATTTACTGTACGGAGTCCAATATTTTCCAGACAGCAGTTTAATAACAAAGCAGACCTGTCATTTCTCCCTATAGTTAGTCACACCATACAAGTTCAGACTGTCAAAATACATTTAAAATCTAATTTTAAAAATTCAACATGGTTACAGCAAATCTGTGTACAATAACTGCGATAAACTAGCAAGTCAATCTAATTTTTTTTCCCCGAGATGGATATTCACTTATTTTTCTTTAATCCCCCACACTGTTATTTGGATTACCTTATAATTGGTATGAACAAATCTACTATACACACACATATGCTGAAATCTGTAGGCAGCTGTAACTGCACGTAAAAATCTTTCTTGACTTAAATTTTCATTGAGCATAACTTTGCCACTTATTTTGAATGTCCTCTCTCTGGACGATATAACTCTGCATTAAAACACTTGGATAAACAAATTTGTACTCTTGTATCTGTCAGGGCTGCCCCAAATACATCATGTGCCTTCATTCACACCTCTTGTTAGAAATGCCTTGAAAACCTTATAGTACAGAATACTTTTCTTCATGTAATAGTATCCGTTAATCTTTGCTAAATATATTATTTCTATGCAAAAAAAGAAAAGAAAAAAGAAGGAAGGAAAGAAAGAAAAAAGGAAGAAACACACTTAAATTTTAAACCTGGAAGTGTTACCAGTATTATCAATTGTTCTCCATTTGAAGTTCAGATGGCTAATCTCTAAAAAACTAATAAATAAACAAAACCCCTTCCCATAGAAGGTTCTTCTTCTTCTTTTTAAATCTTTAGGAACAACAGATTCTTTTAGAAATGCAAGTGAATAGTTTAAAAGCTTAAGAGATTGTGGAAAGAATATTTTTGTAATTCCTTTGAGGCAGTGCAAACATATGTTAAGCTTCTGCAAGGGGTATTTACATGAGATCATATACTCGTGAGGCATTTTTCAATTTTGGAAACATATTACAAAGCAATAATTGAACATAGGCCTTGCAAAATGCCCCTTTGCATTCCTGACTGTCTCATTGATAGTCTCTGTTATTTTTGGAGAAAAAGAATCAGGCCTCATTAAATGTGATATTTGGCATCTCGCCTATAATTTCATAAAGTAGATGTCCTTTTTAGATCATTGGTGTCATTTTCCCCAAGATGACCTCTACTCTTTGGCCATCCGGCAACCCATCCTGTTATCAAGGCATTTACTTTCAAAAGGGCGGGGGGAGGGGGGGAGAGATTCTGTTTGCACACCTGAATAGAGTCCAAAAGGCAATGCGGTTTCTCTGTTCTCATCAGCTTCACCCAGGCTAGTCATCAGGGAAGAGTGGTGGGGGCAAGGAGGTCTCACATGGGAAGGGGAGCAGAGGTTTTTGAGCTAGATAGCCATAGTGTAGTCCAAGCTATATGTCTGCCAGCACAGGGCCTCTAAAGGCTGGAGATATTTACCTAATGATTAAATAGTATTTTTAAAATAGAGTAGGAAGATGCAGTGATATTCCAAGGAAGATTTTAATAGATCTGGGTACCCATACAGTTCAGGGAGTTAACACGGACAGTGCACCCTGAAAACATGCTACGGAGAGATGGTCAGCTTGCATCTCTGCACTGACCCGCATCGCACCAAGTGGGCGAAGGTTTTATGGGCAGACCATTCTAAGATGGACATTTCAGACTAGGTTTGCTCATGCCTACGGAAATATGGAGTTGACAGGTTAACTCTGTCATGTGATCATTTTTATTTCATAACGTGGACACTGCAGATTGATCTTTTAATAGCTTCTCCCTCTACAATGGGTTACTTTAAAGGGCTCCATAAATAGGTAGGTAGATAGCAGATCATAGATAGATAGATAGATAGATAGATGGATAGATAGATGGCAGATGAAAGAATACGTTGCATTCATTGTTTGCAAATGGAAAGACTCAAATACCATCTTTCAACAGATTTAATCTTAGCATGATTATTACACATTTCCCCCCCTTCTATCAAAAAGGGTTTTAGTGTAATTTGACAGTGTAAAAGTGTCTCAGAGGCTAAGATCATTGTTTTAGTTTCAACATATTTATCTGCACATTAATGAATCCATCCCGAAGAAAAGAAAAAAGAGACCTAGTTCAGAAAGTGCAATGTTACTTGCCTCCGTGCTTGAGGCTCTAAAAAAACTGAGGGTCCCAATAAGAAAAAGGCCCTACAGGGAATGGCTCCTTTCTGCCACTAGTAGTTTTAAAATCTGTCCTCCTAAAAACAGTTCCTGGGGCCCAAAATTGGATTAGAAATGTGTTAAAAATCTGAGAATGCAAGCAAGACCCTCATGCTGGAGCTGTTGTCGAAATCCTAATAAAGTTTGTTTGACTGGCTTTCCTTTACAATGAGCATCAAACTATACCACGGAAAACCCCAAACATATCCAGATTTCTATGAAGATCCTAAAATGCTATCTGGATTTCCTTCTTTCTTTTCTCTTCCCCCCACCCCACCTTCTCTAACCAGAGCAGGAAAAACGATCTGAAAAATAGGCCGGAAAATTAATAGAGTAAAAATCAAATGATCTGGAGCAGCGGATGATCTTCAGGATCCTGGGGCGGCTCATGCGGGAGGGGTGAGGGTCCCAGGGTGAGGGGTGGAGCCTTTTAGGACTGAACCCCGCTCCCTCCCTCTCGGCACCCACCCAGGAGCGCAGCAGAACTGGCAGTTTTGATGACCAAGGCGCTCCGCTTGGGCCAGGGCAGTCCTCTTGGAAAATTAAACCAAATTCCAATACAAATCCGAGGCCGCTGCTGGGGCGTGGACGCCCGGTGGGCGCGGGGCACTGGGGCGCGCTCGGACTGGGGAGGGTCGCAGTTGGCGCCGCCCCCCCTCCGGGCGCCCGGAGGAGGTATCTTGGGTATCTCAGAGGGGAGCCCCGTGGCCGGTGTCCAGGAGCGTGCCGGCTTCCGGGGGCGCAGCCAAGGGCTTGGGGAGAGCAGGGATTGACTGCCCCGTGACCTCAGGCAGCGTCTGGGACCCGCCCCCACGGTTCCTGCCTTTTGTCCTTCCGCACCTGCCCCCGAGCAGCCAGGGACCCCCAGGGTGGGGAGCGCACCTGGCTCCACTCATCCCCAGCAGCTCGCGGGGGCAGCCTTGCCCAGGGCGAAGCGCCCCCCCCCCCGCCCCCGCAGAGCAAGTGTATGCAGGGCCAGGGCCAGAACGGAGCATGTGTGGGGTGGGGGGCAAGGAAACGGAGAGATGGGCAGGCCTTCATCTCCTTCAAGTCCAGGTTTCAAGACCCTTGTCACCACCCTCTGCAGCCAGTGCTAAACATTCCAGAACCACGCGCTCTCGGGGCCCTGCTGGCCAGCCCTTTGCTCCAGCCCTGCCCTTCCCTGCACCTAAACTGGGGCAGAAGTGATTTAATGCGTCCAAGGCCTCAGCTTAGGCACTGCTTTCTGGCCCCAGGGCAGTGACCTCTAACTCTCCGATGGCCCTGGGCAACTAGGCATGGGAGAAAGAGGTGGTAAATATTACAGAGAGGGCACTGGAATGGGGCAAGGGTCAGGTGGTAAGAGGCCACAGCCCTGGAGCTCAGAACATGGGTATTGCATTTAGGAATCCTGGGGATCTCCGGGGTCTGCCAGTTGCCTGTCAGTCACCAGGCAAGCAGATCCTTTCTGGTGGGAGGTGGAGCCCTGGGACAGTCCTAGCTTTGATCCCTGGATTGGGATCCTAAGCCAAGGTTGGCTACTGTTAGCAGTACTCCCCCAGCCCTGCACACTGGCCTCTTCCTGTTCTCTGCTCCGCTGGCCTAGTTTGGAATCACCTACTGTCCCGGGATCCTCAGGCCTGCTTTCCTTCTGGAGAACGCCCCAAAGAAGGCCAGAAACCCACTTCTATGGGCTTCCAGAAGTGGATGAGGTCACATAGAACAGGGGCAAATCCTGGTTGCACAAGCAGATCTGCACTGCTGACGGGAGTTTTCAGCTCAGGATCCCCTTCACAACCATCCTTGGGGGTTCTCTCAGAAGAGCAGTTTTCAAGCCTCCCTGCCTGGTTCTGTAAGATTTCATGGCCTCTCCTATTCCCTAACTGAAAGAACCAACCACAAGGAAAAACCATGTTTTGGAATCTTAGCTGGGAAATGCTCAAGGTTGGTGATCAGAATATTTAGAGTAAATTCAGAATCTGAATCCCCTGCATGTAGCTCACACCCAGGCCTGGGCTGGGCGGGGGCTGAG